CCCTTTCTTTCCTTTAGTTTTTGGTATTTTATTAGATTTATATATATTCTATAGGCCCATTCCAAGGCTTCTTCGGGGTATAAAATATAGATTTAATCTATTATATAATAAGTAAACTTTGTTTTTATCATATTTTTAAACTAAGTTTGTTGATCCTGAGTGTACATCAAAAAGAAATTAATATTATTAATAAAAATTAGATTATATATTACAAATAATAAAAGTAGAAACATCCAGGAAGAAAATTATTTTTCTAATTAATTCTTTCATATATAAATTAAATTTAACTAATTCAGAGACTTTAATTTTTACTAAGTAACTTGGCTTATTTATAATTATGAATATTTGATATCTCCTATAGTAAATTATAGAAAGTATTTATATTATATAAGATTACTACTAATCTGATCTTAAAAAATCACAGACTGTTATATGCTCGAGCCGTTCCTAACAAAATCTGTATTATAGAAAATATTTGAATGTAACTTATATCTTTTTACTAATGATTATTCAAATAATCCTTATCCAACCATCCAATTATATACTACTATGATAGTAGGATAGTTTACTATTGTTATTTTATTATTAAATAATAGGCTAGAAGTCTCTTTAATGTATTTATCTTTATAAATAAAATCAGTTTACCAAATAAATAAGAAGATAATTTGAATGGTAATTCTAATATTATACACAGGGAACTATGGTAGAAAAATTCAGAAATTTAAATCTTATTATTTTTTAATTTGTTTATAATACTTAGAACTAGCACGTCCACCTAGACAATCATAGTTCAATAACCTAGTCACATCCAAAATAGTATACAGTAAATGTCGAGCGTGCAGCCGGTGATATCAAGTATAAAGAATCCTATATTAAAAATATTAGATAATAAATAAGAGATTCTAGATCTATAAATAAGAATAATTATTTTATTATTATCTTTTTATTTTATTTTTTTTAATTAAATAGTCTTCTCTGGCTCGCGGCCTAGTCGTTCCTCCACCAGTAGACGCAATTATAATAATACTATATTTAATATTCTATTAAAAGTGCCGGAACCGGCCCCAACTACTATGAATTTTAAGATAAAATAAGATTTTATTGCTTTATAATTCATTTCAGCCCATCTGACAAGTAAAAGTAATCTGATTCCAAATACTAAAATAAATATTACAGATTTAATAATCTTAATAGTAAACTTAAACGTGGATCTCTTATTATTATTAACAAGCAGGAAGCTTATATTTAATTTAAAGATATCTATTCTAGACTTCTTTAAAAATGTTATTTTCACATCCAAGAAATTAATATGGGCGGTCTCCCATCATAGCATATTAAATAATAATCTAAGAATAGATATTAATACTGATCAAGATATTATAGAAATGGTAATTATATAATTTAATTTTTCTAAAGAGAATAGCCCTCTACAATCTACCAGTATATGATATATATATACACTATTATTTTAATATCATATATCTGCAGATGCAATGGTGTCTGAGATATAGAAAGTAATATTAATTAATTATCCAAAATCTCTTCTTATTATACTAATTTATATGAAGCCATTGGACATATTCTTATCATCAGCCAGAGTGCTGCTATATCACAGCGGCGAATAACTAATGGAAATAAATAAGATAAAAAATAATTATATTAGTCTTATTAATTTTAATTATTTAGATAGTCTATCTGAAGATTCTCTGTCTTAATATATAATTAGTATTTTATCTTATGATAGGAATATTAACAGACTCACGGGCTCTGATAATCCGCAGCCTAGTACGACGTTTAATTTTAGTTTAATGACGTTGGTAACTACGTGGAGTGAGGCAGGGTTTGTAGACTATCAGATGGTATTGATGATCTTAGACGTATCAGACAGCCCGAGTAAAATGCTAAAATCTATAAATACTATTGTAATAATATCTATTCAAAGTGATTTGGTGGTTGATAGTCTTTGCCGCGCACGGACTATACCGGTCCGGAGCTTGGGCGTGTCGGTCAGTACTGTTGTTGGAGGTACTATAATATTTTTGTTGATATTTATCTTACACCGGCCTATTTACCGATGGATTTGCAGACGACGTACGGGCGTGATTTGGATTGGCCACGCATCGGCCGCAAGTATGAGATATTATACAGAGCCGCGTCCATTTTATATATAATATCCGGAAATGTCCTATTTTTCTGATGATTCTGAAGCAGGCTCTACGGAAGTATATAGGACGTGAAGCAAATCTGGCTGTACTACCAGTTGTATTGAGCAAACTTCCACGTAAATAAAGTCTGTATTGTCATAGGAACAGTTCCAAGGATACTATAATAATTTCTTGAAGAATCTATAATATGGATAATTTAATTAGTCTACAGCCAAATATACCCCCTAGCTGATTAGTTGAGAGATATAATTTTGTTTAATTTGCCAAAGTCTGCTGTTTATCATTGAATTATGACAATGTCTGGCTGATCTGCGTCTAGTGTTGAATGTAAGTCCTAATAGCCCATTGAGAAACATGCTCCGGTGGGTTCTGTATTTTAACAGATACAGGTAACTTAGTTTGGCCTGGCCAGAATAGTAAGATAGATTGTAGGCCAGGGGCAACGGCTGAAGATATAGATAAATAGTACTATGATGGAAATATTACCACTGCAGCAGGCTTCTTAGAGCGCACTGGCGCTGGGATGGATATTAAGCTAATAATTATAATAATATTTTCTGATATGGTCTCCCGTTCTCTTCTTGTACGTTGTATGTTACCGGGTTGTCTGGTTCCGACACGCTTTCTAAGCTTATAATTCAGCTTTCTCTTTTATAGTAGATTAGTATATTATAATCTTCAAGGCTCTGTGTTTTTTCTTGGCAGTGTATAACGGCGTCGCGAGGTAACCATGGCTAGGATCAGATTTAAGAAACATATCGGGCAGTTATAATAGTGAGAAAGAATAATGCCAAGAATTGCTTTGATCATGATAGTAATTTAGCGGGAGCCTGATTTTATCTACCAGTAGAAGTATTCTACAAAGTTTAGAATAGTTAATACTAAATATTAAAAAGAAAGCTGCTGCAGACTTCTCTGATCCTCTATATTCCTGTGAGTATGATTATGCTGGGATGATTATGTTGGAATAATTAGATATGCATGTGCTACTTACTATTATAGCCCCCGCTTCGTCGCTCTTTGTATTTGCTATGTTAACGAAGCCTCCACAAGCCCGGTCACCTTTCAATGCTATTTGGCTGTCAACATAGCTTGCCGCATGTCTGAGGCCTTATGTAATAGAGGCTTTCCCTGCCTCCCTGTCCGGGGCCACTGTGGAGTGAGCATTGCCCTCTGCTACTGTAGCCAGTGTGTCGGATGCAGTCTGAGCCTTAGAACCCCAGGCCGTTAGAGAAGGTGCGGATGCGACATGCCCAATGGGCCATGAACCAGAGATAATTGAGTTTAGAAGCTTTGTAGTTGATGCTATTTTTCCGTGTATGCTGGATATTGTAGATATAGCCCCTTGCTTGATTGCCTGAGGATCTGTCTCTTCTATGGTGGCTCTGAGCAGAGTATTACTAGCCGGTGGATAGAATAATTTCTGTTCAAGTGTTAGTATATATGAGTCTATTATATATTCCCCCATCTGCCTACCAGGCCCACAGAGTAACTAGCTGAAATGACACTGTTGGCCAGATCAGTATCTAGTGGGGATGAAACAATCTCATATTTCTAATATATATAGCTGATTAGCTCTCGACTGATATGGGATAATGTTTGGGTTTCTAACAGTTGCTAGCGCAGGTGGCTGTGCCAGGGAATATGACGAATGGTAGGCGCTCGCGTTTAATACTTCTGGAGTTGATATTCCTATACCTGGACATAGGATGTCCGTCAATGTTAGAGTGGTAGTAGTAGTAGACGCTGACAACGCTCGTTCAGTTACAGTTCCTGCGCAGTAGATTATCTAGTAGTGACTATCAATTTCTCTTGCAAAATATACTTGGGTCTTGGAGATATCCGTTCTTCACATGTCCTTTGATATCACGATTCTGATATTATTGGTCAGCGTCAACAGTAAAGCTCCCGCTAGTAGGGAAAAGGGCACTGTAACTGATTGGGGTGTAAGGGCTGGAAGGCAATAGCGAGGGAAGCATAGGAGAGAAGCAGAATCTCTTGAGAGGAGAAGACTGGAGATGGAGTGTACGAGAGTACTGCAAATAGTATCTTGGTCTCCGCATTTATACGTCGAGGTTGAGGAGTTTCTAATAAAACTGGAATGGCTCTGAACCGATACTTTCCCTATTTATGGTATCGTATGGAACTAGGGATTGACCGACATCACGTATGCACAGAGTAAGCGGACCTCTCCGATCGGCATGGAATCAAGCCTTGAATTCTCCCGAGACAAGTTGTGGGCAAAATACAGGTTTATTATAGATAAATGCTCATTTAATAAAGAGAATGTCCTCCGCAACGAGAGGCTGATGTATATAGGCAGACCGCGGAATTGTTGCGGGGCAACATCGAAGAACTCTGGGCGGTTTACTGAGACAAGATCCCCATCTGAGATTCAAAGGTCTAGATGGTTATGAACCTGTCCATATAGTCTATGTTGTATAAGAGCAATTCATCCAGGTCAAACTCTCAGCCCCTGCCCCTAAAATCCTACCAGGTATGATCTGGTGAGATTGACTCTCTCTTGTTTGATTATCCCGCGTTCTCCGCGTATTTGTAGCATTTACCTCCATGAACCGACCTCGCTGGTAACTACTTGGAGTGGGCTGTAATGGACATGGACCATCCCAATTGCGAAGCAAAGAATCTTGTCGTTGTCAAAACCCTGGGGTCTGTCCTAATCAATCGGGTGGGTCTGGGTATCGGCCGACCGGGCATTTTGTTCCTGCGGGGTTTGGGTCTGTTGTGAGTTGCCCAGTGTTCTGCCTGGTCAAACTGCTATTACAATTGACCGGCGCCCATTAGGTTGGGACTATCTCTTAGAAATATCAGATATTATGGTTGAGAATACCTTGTAGGGGCAAATGATTCATGATGTAGGATAAGGGGTTAGGACGAAGCACGCAATGATAACAGGTTTGTGTGCGCAATCAATATTGCCCAGCTTGAGCAGGGCCATTGATCCTATGTGCAAGAGAGAGAATGCTCCGAACGGTAATTGCAGTATGGGTGTTTGATGTTTCGTTGAAGGCAGTAGAAGGAGAGGGTGAGGATAGTGTCAAGCGTCTAATCGGACATAAGGTTCTTACAGTGTGAACAGTGCTTGCTTCACGGGCTGGAGGTCATTACGGCAGGTCAATCTCATGTGTGGTTCTGAGGGGATAGAGTAGTTCACCTTCGACAATTGGGTCATGTATCGACCACCAGTGTTGTGTCTCTATCCCCATGCTAGTTGTAGTATATGAAAAAGTGATACTCGGTCTTGTAGGCTGACGATGGGGTTTCTTTCTATCCACTTTGAGCTGGTCCAGGCTGACCGCATTTGCCCGGCTGGTGAGAATAAGGTTCGGTTATTATTGAGGGTACCATGTGTCAGAGCCCCTAACATAACAGTTCACTGCGCCGCTCAGACTACTCACTCTTGACTCAGTCCTACCCAGTGGACAAATCAGATCAGTCGCTGAGCGCTCAGTCAGTGCAGCAGAGCAGTCATGTGCAATGAGCTTCCGTGATGCAGGGCAGGGCTTCGTCCCGTAAATTCCCGGAGGAGTGCGTGCCTTTATCCTTTAGTCTGTGATATTGCTACGTGGATGGCACTTATACCGCATTCCATGCATGTTCCTGATTCCCAAGAAGAAGTAGATACTTATAGTCGCTGCACGAGCACCCCCGCCGAATATACTCCACCGAGTGGGAACTGAAATACCTATCAACTACCAAGCCCCAGCAACAAAACAATGATCCTGGAATACAGGTGTGAATGGGTCGCGCATAGCAGGCATGGGTCACTATACCAGAAGGCGGCGAATGTTTTTTGTATTCAAATCGCTTACAGACAACAGATACTAGATGAGTACCTAGATAGCTGATGAGGGCCGAGGAAGAACAGGAGCGACTGGGAAAGAAAGAGAACGCGAGCGGCTCCGGAAAATTTGATCTATCTGATAAGTAGCGTGCGTAGCGTGCAGTTTTGGAAATGTCACCTAAAGCTTATGGAAGGCTCGTGTCGTCGCCGAGGGGCCTCTAAGATGGGCCACCAGAGACGATGCATACCAAGAAGCCAGGCCTAATATGGGGTGCCATCGCAGAACCTAAAATCAACTCATAACCAGTCACTGAACTTAGAGATCTGCCCGGTGTCATAGAGAAGTACCCCTAATCTGCATCGCCGGCCATCCAGGACAACTCCAGTAGCCACCGTACTCATAGTTTTTTTTTTTTTTTTTTTTTTTTTTTTTTTTTTTTTTTTTTTTTTTTTTTTTTTTTTTTTTTTTTTTTTTTTTTTTTTTTTTGGTTTTTCCCCCAAAAACTGATCGCCGGCTGGCCAGGCACCAGTATCATCAGATTACGTCGAGATCTCCATCTGGGCTTTTGAATGCGAGGGGAAGCAACCAGACCGCTCCCAACTAAATCATATCGATTCATCACCAGAGAAACGAGTCGCACGGAAGTATTCACGGAAGAAAACTTCTCCGTACGAGAGTAAAAAAGGGGGCAAAGCCCTCAAAGGCATCAGCCCCGCACCGTGCTATCGTGCAGCCACTGTTGACAGTAACAATGCCAAATTCATGATCTCTGAGCAGGAGAAACAGAGGCTCAAAGCTAAAGGCTGACTCATTAAGGACAGAGCAGAAATCCCCCAATAAGCGTCACCGTTATATGTTGCTGAGGAGAATGTAAGAGCGTTATAAAACTCTAGCTATGACGGTTGAATCCCTATGGACTGCATTGCTTCGAAAAAAAAAAACCTCCGGGCAGCTAGCATTACCAGCAGACAACCATACTGCCCGACCTGGTTGGCCATGCTAGGCCCAAGGTGATCATCGTATGGGTGTCTTGCAGTAAAACACGATTGCTAAGGGCGCTAGCAAGGAGCCCTTCAACTTGGATTCCAGATAGTTGAGCCGCGCGCCACAGGGCCGTTGAACGGAACACCAGACATGTAGGCCACCACAGGCCGCGATGAGTCTCCAAATTCGTCGAAAATTAATGGTGTACCGCAAGTCGTATACAAGGACTAGGTAGCGGTCTCGCCTAGGCGAGGGGTCGGGGTATGAATTCACCATTGACACCGCTGTATGATAGGAATGTCTCTTCTAGCGCCCAATACAGCACATGTAGTAACAGATAGATTCTAATGCAGAATGAAGGGAAAACAAACATCCAAAAGCATGCAGACAAAAGAACTCGATAAATATCATAGTGAGTAGGACGGCTGCTGTTTTGCGAAGTCTCTGTATATCATGATCTACCTCGCAGCCTGTTCGACCGACGCAGTGGAGGATTTGCGACGGTGGCGGTGGCAGTAGCATTGCAAGGATTTAGTAGGCGTGGGTCGATGTTAGCGAGCTCAGAACTGACAGAGGGGGTGGGACTTTCGCTGCCGTTCTGGTTTCCTGATCCCAGTAAGCTATCTGTGCTCTCACAGCATAGACTATCGTCAGAAGGAAGCCGGAATCTTTCGGGAAGATGATGGAGTTTAATATTGACATCGTATGCATGCAGCTTCACCGCATGGGCCAAGAACGCAGTGACTTCAGCGAACCTAGGAACATCGCGGCAAGCTGCCCAATTGCAACTGATTCCATAGTCCACAAGGGCGAGATGAGAATCGATGAGATGGCGACGAAGAGAGTCCATTCGCTTTGAAGGAAACTGGTGTGGAGGTGGATTAGACGCCGAAGCACGAGAGAGCCCGTAACAGATATTGCAAACATTCGTCGGACATTCCAGGGTTCCCTCTTGAGTAGGAAAGGAAACTCCGGACTTCGCTTGATCGGAGTCAACGTCTACACCCCAGTTGATTCGCTTTCCCCGTCGATCTGGCTCGCAGAGCTTTGAGAGTGCAACCATGTCCTTGGTAACCTGGATTCGTCGTGCAAGCAGCTTATCTTCGTCAAAATTCTCTGCTTTAGATCCGTAGAAGCTTTCCACGAGGCGCGCCCGCTCAGGAAAGACATAATCCGGGATGGGAAGTTCCCAGTCATCTTCCTCGGAACTGTCAGCGGCATCACCATCTCCCTCCACGGACGGGCCAAGAAGCCGTTTGATCTGTTTACTGACTTCAATAACCGCAAACCCTAATACGCCTTTCTAGCAGTCTCTTGGGTCGATTTCGTCATGGTTTTCCTCAGCTGAGAGAGCTCTTTTTTTACTTCTTCATTCCTCTCGTGGAGGTGGGCGAAAAGCTCCTGCGCTTTCTCGACAGTGCCAGCTAGGGATCGTATTTCCCCCATCAGCTCCCTTTACTCTCGTCTCAGCTCTAGAATTTCGGGACTCTGGCAAATAGCACGTCGCTGAGCGTTGGTAAGCTGGGACGATAGGCCGAAGAGATTCCGCTTCCTAGGCATGCTTCCGGCTAGCTGAAGAAGACCTTCCTGAGGCGGTCGGAGAAGTACAACATGCTGAAGATCACGTCCAATAAACTGTGACTGGTAGTGCTTCTCAAAGACTGCGTCGCCGGACTGACCGAGCACCCTTTGCCGTTCCTGGCTTGTAACATTCCCTACAGCCGACAAGTCAGATATGATGTGAATTAGCATCAAATTGGGGTCACCTACGGTTAACTCCATTTCCAGTCCAGCGTCGGTAATTATAATGTCCAATGTCTTCCTCAAATCGTGCATCTCGACCCAACTCTTGGAGCGCTCGTTGACTCGAATCATAGGTCATCAGCAGAGACTTATGAAGCCTGAAGCCGTATGGGGTGCGCTCAAGGCGCCGAAGTAGGGGAGTATCGAGATTCTCTGGTTCCCATCGGAGACGAAGAGACTGACTGCGTTTTGAAATTCGGAGCCGCCATATTAGCTCTGGGGTCATCTCTGAGAAATGCCCCATCACGAAACGCGTACGAGATAATTTGGGTGATCGGGCAGTATGCCAGTTGATAATTACCGTGCATAAAAAATTTAGTTCTGGGGACATCGAGCAGTGTCAGAGCAGTTGAGCGTCCTCGAAGGGGAAGCCCTTACCCATCAGCACCTTCTGGCCGACCTTTGGGATTGTCAAATTCAATGACAGCACAAAGGACATCACGCCTGCTGTCTGGGTCTTTGAGATGATAGAGCTCAATGTCGCGGTAGCAGACGGATTCTGGTAGAATGTATTCACGGAAACGTGATTGGGAAGGTCGCTCTCGACGGACGGGTCCCGTTTCCGCTTGCCCAGGGATGCTCTGGTGGCGGACGAGGCATCCTGCGAAAGTAGTACACCTGGTCGAGTCCCCGTAATGACGGACCAGAGCTAATTTGTGCCAAATTTTATTATCATATTCCAGTAGCGGAAAAATCTCGAATGTACCCAGTGGTGGCGATAGGTAATACAGAAGACCCCCACATCCAGCGTATTCTTAGCCTTCATACGCCTTGGCACCTTGCACTCGGCAGGGATTACTTGATTAAGAAACTATCGTCGAGATCAGCCTTGCAAATGTGGAACCAAGGGATTGAAGCGTACCCGTCGCATCTGTCCATATACATTGTCATTCAAGCGGCGCCGGGCAAATAGGCCACAATACTGGCAGAGGCATCGCCAATATTTATAGTATGACTGAAGGCTCTTCTTTCGTGAATTCCTGAACATACAATCGAAGAAATTCATGTAGATTGCTTGGTCCTCCAAGAGCAGATAATCCACGTAGTCCGCTTTTGAATGAGTGCAGAATCTATAGGTATTGAGGATACGTTAGGAATGTACCATCCCCGATGCGATCCGAGCATAGAAATGCATACTTTCGCCAGTATCATTCGACCACAGAAAGGCCTTTCAGTGTCAAAGGCTTGAAAGTTGGGGTTAACCATTCAAGACTGTCTTGACTTCCTCGCAGAGAATGGGATCGGTCCAGTGCTGGTGCTCGTTGGGATTAGCCTGGGGGAGGGAAGGGGGGACAATTCAATCAACAAAGGCGAGTATCAGGGAAAGGTACCACGCCGCAGAAAGGCATGGCTCTATAGCTTTTATGTATACAGTAGCGACCGCATCGCCTTTCATGGTAGGAACAAAGATGTCTTCTTCCCAATTTAATCACATGATACAGTACGCTAATCTGGGTGAGGATAATGTGTAGATCAGTCGTTCTGGAGTTATCAAGGAATATTAGAAGACGCTGCGTCCCCAAAGCCATAAAAATAGAGGAAGTGAAAGGGAGGCGAAGAAAAGAGTCGAACTTACAAGGGGTATGTGTGTGTGTATTCATACTCTGACCCCTCGCAAATTAAAGTGATATGCAGGATCTTCCTATCTATCTCTTCCTATATATTCCTTGTATACATTGGACCATTACTTTCCTGACGAATTTGAAGCCTCGTCAAGGCCTATATTAGCCTAGTTGCCTGGTATTCTGTTCTGCAGCCCCGGTGGCACGCGGCTTCAAAACCTCTGCGACGCTTCTACAAAGTCCAGTACAGTCCTAAGAGTGCTGTGGTCTTGTTCAGCGTCTTGTGCCTTACCTTCCTTACCTTATTATCCTTCTGGTATGTTTGAGATGCTGCTAAACGCAGGTCCAATCTTTTTCCGTAGTTATTATTACTGGACTTTAAATTTCAGGCAGTCTACCAGTATATGAACTACCATCTCGCGGGCTCCACAGACACACCTGTCATCGTCCTGGAAACCGTATTATTTCTAATATATTACCAGCCAAGAGTAACCTGTCCGAAGTTGTACAAGCAGATATACTCAGTTCCACAGGAGCAATCAATACAGTTATCGCGTTCGGATACCGGTAGGGTCTTGTTCATCTGGCAGAGGCACCCTCCCTTTATAGACTTAGTCCATTCTTCCTTCCATTTAACTAGGATCCTGTTCCGGATAAAGTCCTTCTCTTACAAGAGAAGGGGTTAAAAGAGATACATCTTCTTCAGGCCTACTGCTTTCTTTGCTAGCCGGTCAGTCTTATTAGTTCCAGGGTCATCGCAATGCCTTGGCATCTATTGGAGGAGAATTAAAATCTCTCATATTTTTATTTCAGAGGCTGCCTGTAGTATGGCTCGGATAATTCACTGCCCGGACTTATTAGACAGGTTACAAATCGCTTGCAGCGCTGACATACATTACTTAATATGGTTGTAGGTTATTTTACTCAGTCTAAACGGCCTTGCCTCTTCTGGATTACTTAAAGAACCAGACTGATGACGTAGAAGATTACCATGAGCTCGGCTGCATAGACCAACCAGTGTTCCATTGACCCAATGCTGACTTGTCGCGATTCTGACGCCTGCAGGTTTCCGTTGAGGGCTACGGCTGCGGCCCCTAGGTGGTTCTGCTGGCCAGATGCATCGGAGAAAACCGTGGTTCCAGGCATGTCTCGTCTGACCGCGATGAGTTGGGCGCGTTGTTTCAGCCGTAACCGAGTTGGTAGTGTGTAGGATTCCACTTCGAGTGCCTGCGTTGATACTGTTCAAAAGACAGAAAGTATCCGTATCAGAGCCGCTCGCTGGATGGTTCCCAATTGCTGCAGGTAAATCTTATTTTTTAAGAGATTGTGCCACACAGTAGATGCATGGTCTGCTACCAGTACCACACAGACTTGATAGAGTTGTCTCATCTGTTCCGGTTATAGATACTAAAATCCTCCGAGTGCAATATCGACTTTGGTTGCTTGTTTGAGTACTTGCTCGACATACTCCTATCACAATTCTCTGCCAAAGATCACTCCAAGGAGCTTTACCGCTGCGGTGGGCTTGATAATCCTGCTATTTATAGTAGTTTCTTTCTAATTTTATTTCTTCTTATTTCTCAACAGGTGAATCAGCTCTGTCTTCTCCACCTCAAAGCATGAGTCGGTTTGTTGGGCCCATACTTCAATATATAAAATATCTTCTTTCTGCAGCTTTCTGAGATTTTTCTTTACTGGCAAACCCGCTCGCCACCAGAAGTAATTATCAATAAAGGTCGATGCTCCTTCTTTGACATCCACTGGTTGGTCTACTAGGTCTGAGTTAAAGAAAGTAAAAAGAATTAATGACAGAGGTAAGCCTTGGGCTAGGCCCGTATTCTCCAACAGTACTAGCTGTATCTGAAAATTATCAAAAGCTATGCTTGCAGATTAGTTCTCCATGAAACTGTAGATTTATTGTTTAGCTATAACAGAAATATCTTTAGCCCGCAGGCATACTTCCAGGCTTGTTTTACTTACTCTACTAAAGGCACCCTTGAGATTAAAGGCAATAAGTATTACTATTCTTGATCACAGCTGTAGCCATGCTTGATCAACTGTATTTATAAGGACCAGTAGTACCTACTTATATCTCAACCAGGCTGTTCTCCGAAGTGTGTCTCTGGCAGTAGCTTATATAACTCAGCCCAGTATAATAACTGCTTAGCCATTACTGCCTCTAGTTATTTCCCCAGAATATTTAGTAATAAAATCAGTCAGTATACTCCAGGGACTATATAGTCAGCTTTTCCAGACTTTCATAGAATCACAACCTTTACTCTCTTTTAATAGTAACGTAGTTCAACCGACTTGGTAAAGATATAAGTGATTGTTGATCCCAAATAAAGCTATAGATTCTTCCAAACTAAGATTAGGATCCTATTTTCGCCGGGAGCGGTGATTTCCTTGGTGGCCTTGACTGATCTGTGGATCTCCGGTTTGGTAAATAATTCCTATTATATCTCTTCCACTAGCAATCCTGGGCACTCTAATACTGTGTCTATATCTGCGTCTGCGTCTGCCATCTTGAGAAAAAATGAATCAAGAAATGCTTTGGCTTGTACCTCATTATCCACTACTTTTTTGGAACTAATAATTAATGCAGGAATAGTGGCATAGTCATCCCGCGGGCGTATACAAATCACTACTTTCCACAGGTGT